TTGCTGGTGGAATAGGCTGCGCTGGAAACTCTGTGGATGCAGAGGAGCTGAAGTAGAGCTCGTAGTGGGAGGTGGAGACCACAGCCTCCAGTCTGGGGAGGTTTGCATCAAGTGGGCCACTCTTTTAGACACAAGTCACTTCACAGTCACTACACAGCAGACCAAAGGAAGCTTTCCTCATGGAAAGATGAGCCAGCCCAGAAAGCTCTCCTCTCAGCTGCTCTGATGTGTGGAATGCCAGAGGTGCCCAAAATGGTATACGTGGCAGCACACGGACACATCAGCTGGTCACTGCAGGGAAGCCTGGGCTGGAGGCAGGGCCTGGTGAGTTGGAGTGTTTATATCTGCACTACAGGCTTGTGTGCATTGCTCTTTGTTTGCCTGGTGGGTTAGGCACTTGAAGCAGCACTCCCACATGGCACAGGGCAGTCCTGACCTTTCCCTGGTGTACCCATGGCACTCACCAGCATCTTGTGCCATGCCTGGCAAGCTTCATTTTTTCCTCCTGTGCACTGTGCTGCCCAAAAGGGCCAGGTGGGGTTTTGTGTGAGGGGAAGGAAGGCATTTACTCTCCTACGCCAGTGGTGCAGAGGGCATTTCCCTCACCACCAGGTTTGTGCCCCAGAAGCTGCTGTGTTTGCTTCCGGTTTCCTTCTCCAGGTGCCATGCTGCGAGGGTGCAAGCAAGCAAGCCACGTGAGGAGGGATAAGCCCACAGCTCCTGCTGACTCATCCTGTGGGAAAGGCCAGTGTGGCTGGCTCCCAGCCTGCCCTCTGGGCACGTGGACTCTTTCCTGGGCTGGAGGGGAAGAGGAGGAGCTTTGTGGTATAACAGTTTTCCATTTGCCTTGGGACCCTTTTCTCCCCATCCCTCTCTCTTGCACACAGCCATGATGATGAGGGATGCTGCAGAGTTTACGCTGTTGTGTAGTGAGACTGTGCAAGGCACAAAACAAGCAGATTGGGAAGGAGATGGATGGGAAGCTGTGGGATGGTGTGTGCAGTCCCGTCAAGCTTGGTTCAGCACATCTGTCCCCAACTGGAGCCTAGCTTGTCCCTCCAGGGCCACATGGGGAAAAAGAAGATAATTTCAGTCTTTATTTCCTTTGCCTTTCTGCACCCCTCTGCTGTCACCAGTGCTGGGCCAACCGAGCTCCTCTCCTCTCTTTCACTCATTCTGCCTTATCCTATCCTCCTGTCTGTCCTGATTTCTCCAACACATGGCCTCAGGTGGGGTTAGCAGGGCTCAAACCTCCAAGCAGCCTGCCTCTTGTAAGATTAGTCTTTAGTATCTTTAATTGAAATCTTAACTGCCGCAGTCAGTAGCTAAGTAAAGAGGAATACAAAAGCAAGAAGACACAATGAACTTACCTGTAAATGGATTAGTACACGTGACTTCATTTAGCCACCAAGACATTTGAAGTACTAGAAAATTTTTACTTCTCTCAGTTGTGAAAGCCTTAGGGTGTGGGAAAATGAGGAACTTAAAACATGATTTTACCTAAAAAGTCCCATTTCATTTCTCATTTTTTTGCAGCTTTGCTGCTCTCCTGCTCCCTGTTGGCATCACTGAATGCAATTTGAATAGTGTCTGTGATTCTGGTATGTCTCTTTCTTCATCTCTGATTCCAGGAATGTATCAAAAATGCCACTTTACCACATTCGACTAGAAGCTAATGATCACTGTCCTCAAGCAGGGATGCTATGAAGGAGGACCCTTGAGGAGAAGGTTCCCACAGGCCACCCTGGAGTCTGTGGCTGGCCAGGAGAAGGGCAGGTGGTGGCTGGGTATAGCACCCATGAACACAGGAGTGATGCCACAGGGCAGCACATCACTGCAATTACAAGAAGTAAAACTTCCCAGACCATGGCCCTGGGCTATACTTTGGTGCCCATGGCCATGCAGGGTCAGCCACAGAGCCAGCCATGGCTGCACAGGTGGCATGTCCACCCTGATGCCTCTATGCTGCCAGTCCCTGGCCCATGCTTTCTTGCCTGGTGCTGGGAGATTTTTGGTCTGGTATTTGCATGCTGGATTTTTTCCTTTCTATGCAATACGGGGTTGTGTAACTGCTTTTGCAGCCCCTTCTTCCTGTGTCCAACAGCCTCATACCGATAGATGCCTGAGGAACGAATGATCTGCATTATCTAGGACTGATTCCCTACCACTTCTATTAAATGAGGTGTTTCTTCTTCTCAGGAGCATGGCTGAAACCAGACAGTCTCCATCAGCCTTTAGTAAAAGCCTGTTTGGACTCTGTTTATAGGGAAAGCCAGTCATGACTTCCTCTTTTATGTGTCTGTGTTTATTAAAGCATTTAGCACAGCTAAAACACTTCACAAATTAATAATGATTGCAATAATTAAGTTGTTTTCCTATAAAAAACACTCACTTTTAATGATGATAGAAATGAACATTTCATGCAAATAAACATCATGCCCTAAAACAAGAAGTTGCCCTTCCATCCCACAGAGTGTAAAGCTGTGCCTAGAAGGAAATTTTGTGTCAGTCAGGGTATTTTATGATGTTAGTCAATATTAAATGCAGAATTTCCTGCATTTCCACTGATAGTTGCATATGTGCTGGCCTCACCCCTCTGTGGCTGAATCAGTCTGATACCGTTGCACTGAACAAACAAGTTACCTGGTGCTGAGATTCCTTGGATTTTTCCCTACATACCAAAGCAATGTCCTTCATGTGCTACAGTGGTGCTGGGTAATGTCCAGTATCCACCTGCTCTTGTCAAAAATTGCCTCCCTAATTCCTGATCCCAAGTAGGGCAGACATGACTGTGGCCTCCAGCCTTTGTTGCAGCTTTATCACATCCCTGTCAGGAGCACAAAGGGGAAGGTGGAAGCAGAATGCTGCCCTTAAAATCTCCCATGCAGTGATCCCAGCTTGGACCCAGGAGCTGAGGGAGGAAGTGCCAGCATCCTATTACTGGCCTTATTTGGGGGTGCTGCTGAAAGTAATTTCTTTTTCTGAGATTTGCAAGCTGGCCTGTCCACTACAAAAAGGTTCCTTGCTCCTTCAAGTGATGACCATGTCATTGAGGAGCTGAGCCCCTGAACCTCGTGGCGCTCCCACTGTACTTCCATGGGGATGAGGGAATGACACCAAGGCCACCAAAGATGAAACGGCTGAAGATGAATGGCTGAAACTGTTTTATTTGTGGTCACTGCCATTTCATGGGATATCTCCTGTTGCTGAAGAAGTGACACCAACACCAACCTCCATGCTTTCAGAGGGCTGGTGAGAATTGCGTTGCAAAGAGCTCATGCGTGAGAAGGCAGGGCGGCCTTGGTGTGGCCCATTTATTACATGGGCCAGACAGTGTCCTGACGTGCTTGGGTGAGGACCCTTGTTTACCGCTGTAACAGCTTTTGGGACTATTGCTCACTGACAGTCCCACCATCAGACAGTCACCTGCTTCAGGGGAAACCCTGCCAGAATGAAAGGCAACATTATATCACCAACTCTTCCTGTCCAGCTTCCTTATGCCTTCATGGATGCACATTGTGCCCTCACACCCTCCTGTGTTGATGGAAGGAAAGTGATTAAACTTAATCCCATCCAGCAGTGTCTACTAAAAATAATGAGCAGTGTATGAGACATTGTTTTTCAGCTGATTTACAAAAACATCACGTGAGGGGAAGAGGAAGTATCTCCTTGTCTGGCACTTTGTTTGGGAAATACCACTTGTGCATCCAGCGTCAGGTATGAAGGCATGAGCTGGCTGAGGGGACCAGGCTGGTTTTCACCTAGGGGACCACGGTGCAAACACGACCCAGGGCTGCACTTGTCCAGCCAGGTTCTTTGGTAAATGGAGAGTGTTTTAGGGTGGCAGCTCTGTCAGTTTGCTTCACCAGGTGGGTTTGTTTTGCTTTTTTATTATCAGATGCTTGTGGGTGAGTCAAGTGCATTTAGATTGCAATGCCATGCCCCAGTGATAGCATTTTTTTTCCCCTGTCCTTTAGGGAGGAGCAGGTCACAAGCATCATGCTATGTAGGTGACTGGACACTGCTCTGGAGGGCTGGAGAGGAGCCAACCTCCAGTGGGAAGCAGGTGAGAGTGTCTGAATGTTTTCACAAGTCTGATGAGTCACACAAGAATGATTTGCTGGTGAAACTTTGCAAAACCAGACCACTGTACAGCACCTACAATAGCATCCTGAAGGACCTTCTCAGGACCACTACACTGATGCCCTCTAAAGTAAAAATCTTCCAGGCTTCTGCTGGTGACTAAGTGGGAAAGAACAGGGAGTTGCATCTCTTTGTTTGCTTGATTGTTTTTTTTTTCCTGGATTTTAGAAACAAGAGCCTTTGGCCCAGAAGTTCTTAATCCCCTTTGCATTGGGATTATGAGCTACAGGGATGGTGTTCCTTGCCTGTGAAGCTGGAAAAAAGCAGTACAGTGCGTGAGCAGGGAGCCTGCTGATGTGCTTGGCATAACAGGGGAGGACCTCAGGCTCTCCTCTGCACGGACACATCTTTGGGTCCCAGCATTAGGGAAGAAGAATGTGCTCTGCACTATTCCTCTGCTGTTCCCTTGTGATAAGCAGCTTCATTTCCCAGTCTTCCTAAACTCCAGCTTTGAACTGTGGAGAAAGTAAAACTTTGCCTGACAAAATGCTGTATTCCTTTCTGTCTGGATCTTAGACAAAACCCTTAATTTGGATGTCTATCCTTTACAAAGAGTACTCCTTTACAAAGCTGCAGCTACTCTGGTAGAAGTGATGGGCCCCCAATACCACCCAAATATTCTGCAGCCAGTAGTTAACAAAAAATACTAGAATAGGTGTATCATTTTGAAGTTCAGGGTCATGGTTGTGGTTATTTTCCTCTTGAAGGCAGAAGGCAAAGCATACCTGCTGGCACTCTGCTCTTGCTCTCCTGCTTTTGCCCTGCTGACATGGAAGCATTGAAGGAATTTGCATAATACAATCATGTTTTCACAATCCACAAAATAAAACCCAAGTGATAGCAACCTTTGTGACTCATTTTTCTTGTAAACACTTCATATTTATTATCTTAGTAAGAATTCAAGACATACATGCATGAGGCATACAGCAACACATCTGGCACACATCCAGAACAAGGCTTACGGAAAACAAATTCATGTTGATAAAGTCATAAAGCAGATCCTTTGCAGAAGTAACAAAAGAAATCTAGGATGGACATCAGCAAGCACTTGGTCATATACTGGCACTGATGTCTTGCATCTGTGCCTTTTTCCTGAGTTCCTGTTGAACACTGCCGTTCTTAACAATGCACAGAAACACCTAAAACATTTCAAAAAAGCAAATAGTCTTTGCATAACTAGGCAGACAAATACTGTGCTAACAGTAAACTTTGATATCCCCATGACAATTCATGTAAGAGCATACTTTCTATTGTAATATTTATATGTACTACAGCCTGAAGAACAGGGTGGGTTCTACAAATCCACACCTCGTTTCCTGTTGACCTTGCAAGCAGCATTCATTGAACAGAAGTTTTATTCAGATACTTTTCAGCTGTGAATGTTAATGCTGAATTCTTCTCAGAGTTCCAGACAGTCATGGTCATTGTTCAGTGTCCTTGATGAAGATTCCAAGACTCCACCAAATGCAGGATGTACAACAGCAACCCTTCTTATGAAGCTGAAGCTGTCTTTGATGAAGTTTTGCCCAGCTGGATGCAGTGCTAGCTTGGGAGCTGGTATTCTGCTGGTCTGAAACTCTTTGCCTTTACTTTTTGTTACCTGAAAACCTGACCTATGTACACGTCAGTAAAATGCACTGTTTTGCAGTATAAGATAAATAACAACTATTTTTGAAATATTGTGTTCTCCCTGAAAATGTACTGGCTAGCTTAGAGGGGAAGGGAACCATGCATGTGGCTCAAGCCAAGAGCAAATCTCCCTGTAACACCACTGGGATGGATGGAGTTAAGTCTTCCATTTGGAAAGAAGGCAAAGTCAGTCAGCTTCTGCTCAGTGACAGAAGTCAGTGTCAATATATGACAGCTCCTGCACAGTTGCTTGTGAGAGTGGCCAGAGTTACATAATGACAATTTTGCAAAGGCAGATTAAGAAGATATAACAGAAAAATAAATTATAAATACAAACAAGAATTCACCACAAGACAGGAGAAGATACATAATTTGAATAGACACAAATAACAAAGTGTAACTATACAGCCTTATAAAATGCAAATGTGCTCACATACAAGGGTAGTTAAGAGAAGTAACTCACTAGTGACCTTAGAGGTAGCTATGAAACAGCTTCAGCCTTTTTCTTGGTATCTTGGACCCATGAAAAACACTGTTTAGGATGGAGCCTGACAAGAATTGACTAGCAAAGTTACTGTTTGTTTTGACAGCAACCAACATGTTTAATTCAGCTCCTCCGAAGCCGGCTAAAGGTAATATCCCCTCAGTGAGATGGGTCATTTCCATGTAACCATCCACTGGATATGCTGCCACAGCTCCACCATTCTGGAACTGAGATGAGAAGGCCATGAAATGAAGTGGAAATAAAGTACAAGGAAGAACCTTTGTCCATAAATATAATTAAACATTGAAAAATCTAAGGTTACTTTCTTGTACCACTCAAACGCTCAATTCTATTGATATTGTTTCTTCAAAGAGAAGGTAGTTACCTTCTTTGAATAAATAACATTCTCAGCAAAACTTGCAATTCAACTTTAGGATCTACTTCTGTTGAAGCTATTTTGTTACTTACAAAGACACAACAGAATTGTACTGTTATCAAGAAATTCTTTTTAATATTGAAAGAACCCTTCCACAATTACCTATGTATCTGTGTTTGCGTTATATATATTCAGATACATATATTATGCCAAAATATGATTCCCTCTCTGAAGCATGATTTATTTCCTTTATCATCAGAAACTATTATCCATTTTTTATTTATATAATACCTTTTTATATTGAGTTCTGTCATGTTTTGAACATTTTTTCATACTGTGTTTTGAGATTAAACAAACAGCTTTTGATTAATAGTTCTATTAAATACTCATGACATGCACTAGCAGTGCACACATTTATATTTTATGTATACATACTATATATATAAACTTATACTATATATTTATACTATAGACTAGAATTATGCAGCACTGTTGATTCATAGAATTACAACTTTTAGTCTGCAAAACAACATCCTGTAACAAAAAACCTTTCAATAAAGATAGCGATTGTCTTCAATAAATTTTAATAATTTTAATAAATTTTAACACCACTTGATCCCTGTCCAGCAGGATCCACACTTTAGAGAAGAGGACCAGTCAAAGATCCAGCAACTGGCTTTTCCTGTGTGTTATATGATCCCAAGTTCCAACAGACTGTCACTTTTTTTGGTTTCACCTTGGAGGTGGGCTGAACTCCTTGGTGAAACATGGCTATGGGACATGAGGACCAGAGGGTGACTGGGGAAACTGGGTTCCTGAAGGTGTTCTCAGACCATGGTGAAGGGCAAGTTCAGTCTTGTCCCAAATCTCCCCATGTCACCAGCTTGCCCGAAGTCACCACAGCACAGTTTAGAGGCTCTGCCCATTGTTATCTTTTTCTTCCCACCTGGCATTCATATGCCAGTATTGCTGTAACATTCTTCAGAGAAAACACGTGATAGCCATCCTCCAGCAGCTGCAGTCACCTAAATACAAGGCAGCGAGATTCGACGTTTCTTCATCTCCCAGTGTCTGTGGAGCCTCTTCTTCCAAACCCACAAAGCCAAGGTCCTCCTCCGTTCCGCTCGCCGTGTCCGCGGGCAGCCCACGTTCCGGGGCAGAAGAGCTTGGCGAGCAGGTTCAGGAGCCTCTGCCGCAAGTCCCACCTGTCGCCGATGCGGGTCAGCTCCAGGGCGCACTCCACCGCCGCCTCGCGCCCTGCGGAAACGCGCGTGGTTACCGCTTCAAAGGGATCCCCACAGTACGCTACTTTTTGTCCAATTTTTTACCTTTTACTCATCATGAAGTGCACCCCATCCCGCACCCTCTCTGCCCCCCACTCACGGGGGGCAGCAGCTGTATCCCTCTCTCCTCCAAACGGGCGCCCGCAGCCGCGCCGGGCGCTGGCCGCCCAGCCGGTGCTGGAGCCGGGCAGCAGCGCCCGGGAGCAGGACTGCTGTGTCTCAGTCCCGTCCGTTCCTGTCCCTGTCCCACCCCATGCCGTCCCCTCCCCCGCCTTTCCCTTTCCCCTCCGGTACCTGCAGGAGCGGCTGGCGGCGCGGTTTTGCGCAGGGTCCGGCCAGGCATCATCGCGTCGGCGGGACGAGGATCGGCGGGGCACGGAGCGCCGGGGCTCGGCGACACTCGTCACAGGGAGTCTAGGCTCGATTCGGCGGGGCACGGGGCGCCCAGGCCCGGCGGGACACGGAGAGCTCAGGCTCGATTCGGCGAGGCACGGAGCGCACAGGTTGCTCTCAGGCCGGTGGCAGCAGCGTTCTGCTGGCACGGGGGCGGAGCGCGGCGCTAAAAGCGCGGTGCGACTCCAGCGGGGATTTCCCTCCGTCCTGACGTAGCGAAAAGGCGCGGGGATCCCGCCCCCCGCGCCCGGCGGGCAGGCGGTGGCGTGCCCGGGCGGCGCGGGGCCGCGGCCGGGACACCGCCTACGCTGCCGGCCCGGAGAGGGCTGGAGGAGTGCGGTGTGCGGAGCAGGAGGAGATGGGAGGATGGGCTGTGCGCGGGGCAGAGGTGGAGGGATGGGGAGTGCTAAGGGAAAAGGGGATGGAGGAGTGGGGTGGGTTTGTGGTGTGTCAGAAGAGATGAACGGTGCGGTTTGCATCATCAGGGCAAGAAGAGGCAGAAGGGCGAGGTGGGCTTTCTCTAGGCAAAGAGAGATGGGAGGGTGGGCTGTGCTTGTAATGGTGGTGGTCCAGGAAAGGTGGACAGGGTTGCAATGATGATGCTGAGGAAGAAGAGGTGGAGAGATGGAGAGTGCTTGGACAAGCAGAAGAAACAGATAGAGTGTGTTATTATCATAGAAGCATAGAACAGTTTGATTTGGAAGAGACTTCTTAAAGGTTTTCTAGATCAGCCCCCCCTGTATTTTGCTGCTTGTAGCCACAAAGGCAGAAAGATTGTCAGCTAGATCAGGTTGCTCTAAGCCCCATTCAACCTGACCTTGGATGTTTCCCAGGATGGAAAATCCACCACTTCTCTGGGCAACCTTCACCATACAAATAAAAAAACTTCCTTATAGTTAACCTAATCAATGCACCCCTAGTTTAAATCATGACTCTTTGTCCTATTGCAAAAGGTCCTTCTGAAATCTCTGTCCCAGTTTTTCTTATAGGCCCCCTCCGGATGCTGGAAGGCTGCAATAAAGCATTCCCAGAGCCTCCTTTTCACCAAGCTGAGTAACCCAAATTCTCTAAACCTTATTTTTATTCGAAGTGATAGTGACCTTGCCCTCAAACCAGCCATGGAGAAACAATCTAGGCCATACTCATGTACCACTTGCAACAGCTTGGGGCCAACCCCCGGCACTGCTGGGTATTTCCTGTCGCAGTGCAGGGTCTGCATGGCATGGCTCTGGCTGACACATGGCAGTCTACACTTACCTGCGCCTGCTGTAATTTTAGATGGTGCGTTTTGCAGGAAGCAAGTGCTGGAACAAAGTCACGCTCATGTCTTTGCGATTGTTGCAGAATGTTGGGAGAGCTGCCAGTGATACGTGGATCACTCATCTGCCTCCTGTCTCTGAAAGAGTGGATATTTCATGTTGTGACACATGCCATGGACTTCTGCTTTTAGGGGAAAATGAAAACTGCTTGATGTAAAGAAAGCACAGATGGGTCAGACATAACAAAGAACTGATTTATGGCTGTAAGTCAGTAAATTTCTACCTCTCCCATCAAAACACAACTTAAAATGTCACAGTGTAGTACAGGATGTTAAGAGGCTCCATTCTATGGGGTAGAAACCTCTGAAGTCAAGTGTCTAGAAATGCTGGTGACTTTGAAGTTCCATTAAAAGGGGAAGCATTCACCAGCACAGTGCAGACAGCCTTTTCCCTGCTATTTCCCAGAATGATGGGAAAACATCTTGAAACACGGCTGATTTCTCTCCCTGTGTAGGAAACCTCAGCCCCTTGGTGCCGACAGGAGGCAGCTGGCACAGTGGTGCTGCAGGGCTGGCGTGTGGGGGGGGCAGTGGTACGAGCTCACAGACAGAGCATTTCCCAGGGTGAGATATCTAAATGAAAGCTATAGCTGGATGAAGCTTTTGCAAGGCCCTTCACAAAGCAGTAAACCGGCTCTGTCAGCACCACACAGTGCACCCTGCCAGATCGTGACCTGGTGTCAGAGCAGCTTAGGTTGGCCACAGAGAAGTTTCTAATGTTTTTGAGGATGTATTGCCTTTGTCTCTCAGCTGGTATATAATCTGTAAGGCATGTGGGCTAATTTCCTTGACCCGATGTGTTTGGGGTCCCTTCAGCTGTTAGTAACTCAGCCCTGTTCAGGCAGAACTGGCCTTTTTCATTCATTCCTGTTACATAAGAAACTATGCCTTCAAAACAAGTTTGTTGGGTTTTAGGAGATGGCAAGGCGGGTAAACAGGTCAGGAGGATGTTTGCATGATGCATCATACCTCATGAAGGAGGTGTGGTGGTCTGCAGCATGTGATGCCTAGGGCTGCATCTCAAAGCCGCGGTCCAAGAGCAGCTCCACAAATCATGGAAGCCTCTCCAGAATGACATCACAAGGGGCTAGGGCCTTACTGAGACTCCCATCTTACTAAGGGGCACCCCACGTGCCACTCCTGCCCTACTCAGTGCTCAGTAGTGCCCAGTGCAGGCAAAACACCCACAAACTCAAGCCATGAGGTCATACTGGTCTCTTGGGCGGCTGGCATGTGTGTGTGACTTTGCACATTTATTTTGCATGTTTAGACAGAGCCAGTTATGACCTGCGGCTTGTTCTTCTTTGTGAATCTGGAGACAGATTACATCCTTGGCAAATTACTTAAATTACTCTTCATCTAGTAAAGCCAAAACCAAATTAACCTCAATCAATCCTGTCCTGCTCAGCAACACTTCCTCACCCTGAAGGCAGATAACCTTAAAGGGCAGCTTGCGTCTATACCCCTGCAGCCACACAAAGAGATGGGCGCTCCTTTTGAGTCTATGGGGGAGAGATTCTTTCCTATCAGTGCATAAACTAGTGGGATAGTCGAGTTGAGAGCATTAATTTATTTTCTTTATTTTAAAGTAGTGAAAAAGATAAATAAAAACAGGATAATAGGTAATAAAGGATACATGGTAATACAGAACGATAAAAGGTAAAAAAAAGGGCACACTTCGGTGTGCAAAATAGGTTATTAAACTATCCTGTGAGCCCAAGTACCTGAAGTGCTTGTTTCCCTATTGCTACAGTCAGAGCCATGTATCTGAGTACAGTGGTGTAATGTAGGGAGACTCACTACTGCTTAGAGGGGAATTGCCTCAAGTTCCAGATCTGGCCCACATCCTCGCAGAGTTTTACTGGTGTGTGAGGGAGTTACTGATGTGTAAATCACAGCCCATTTTGGCGGGAACACCACATGTTGGGGCCGCTGCTGATTATAGGATTGTGCAACAGGCTAAGCGAAAATAAGTTGATTGTGGTTTCAAAAGCCATTGGCAAGCTCTGACGTTTTCTTGTTTCAATTCCCCTAAACAAAGAAGTATATCTGTGGGAAGCACAGACCCCGGGGAATCTGGTCTACCAGAGCAGCCACAAAAGTTTTTTCTTGCTGTGGCCACACTGAGCAGGACCACAGGTCGCCAGGTGGGCTTAGCCATGGCAAAGAGCAAAGCAGCAGCCCAAGGAGCACTGCCCAGCTGGAGCTGCTGTTCAGTTTATTTCTGCTTAGTACCATTTAAAGTTATTGCAATTACACAGCTGAGAAGAGAAAATCATCTTTAGATAATGTGCCCCAGGCTTCACTGGTGTGGGTGATGTGGTTTTATCAGGAACATGTCCATAAAAGACAGCATGTGACATACTCTCACCACACATAACAACAGTGGGTAGGCTTGCTGAAAGGAAATTGAATGTTGCAGAAACGAAATCAAGAGTGGGAGAAAAAGGAAACTAGCTGGTTTTTTTTTTTCTCTGAACTCAGTTATTTGTGCTGAATCATTTTCAAGCAGTTTCTGAGCCTTCCTCTAAGATCTTAAATAAATCTCTGATACTGTTTCATCACTGGAGTTTATCTTCTCATCTTCCCAAGACTGGTGTTGACAGCTCTTGTGTTAACTGAGAAGTTGTTTGTTTTTCTGTCTGCCTTTTCCCGTTTCTGCAGACTGCAGAGTTGACAGTTCCTGTTGATCCATGTGTGTCTCTGCACCCGATCAGGAAACTTGGCTCTATTGTCAGGAGTACAAACCAAGGTCATTTCAGGAAAGTGCACTGGCATGTGGCCATGGGCTATGCCGAGAGAGTGTGATGAGAGCCATGGATAAGATTTTGTTTGTTTTTGTGGTGTTTTGGATTGGGGGTTTTTAATTGTTGTGTTTTTGTTGGTGTTGTTTTGTTTTGTTTTGTTTTGTTTTGTTTTGCTTTGCTTTGTTTTGTTTTGTTTTGTTTTGTTTTCTGGAGTTTTTTTCATAAATCAGTCTAATTCTCTGGTTTGCTCTTCTCAGACATCTTTCCTCCAAGGATCTCTCTCACGTAAAGCTTTACGAGTAAAAAACTTTACGAGTAAAGCTTCCTAAGTCCTCCAGCCTTAGTCATTAATCTCAACCTTGTTTTTCAGGGCAATAGCCTTTTTCTGTGTTAATAATATTCTGATGGCAACTGCAGTAAAACTTTGGCCTCCAGTAGCTACTGCTGCTGACACCTCCACTGTGGTGGGAGAAAAGGTTAATGTAGCTTTCAGTAGTTAAGTAAAATACTCCAGCTAATTTTACTTTGACTTGACAATGTGATCCCACACCATCCAGGAAAGAAACTAAGAAGAACTGCACATCCATTGCTGGGATATAACCCCATTTGCACAGAGCTCATGTGCTGTTTAAATGTTACTTAATGCCCCACAATTAATTCTTAGACTTTCCCTCCTATGTTGTTCTCTCTTGCCTGCTTCCTTTGAAAGCTTAAATGCATAATTTTCTTAGTAAAAATGAACTGCATGGTTGCTCATATATTACAGTGCTCTGTCACTGCCAGAGGGTTAAACACATAATTTTTTCTCTGTGACTGCCTCTTTGTGAAGCAGGCAGCACTAATTCATTACTTGTAAAATGCTACTGAAAAATGACTCACATGTGTCTGATCTGGTGCCCACCAAAGCCAGAATGGGCCAGCCAGTATTCCTGCTGAGAGCAGTAAAATTTGGTTGAGAATGGGGTTGAATAGCAGAGACTCCTTGATATAATTGGAGTGTAAAAAAGTTTATATTTTATATTTTTTAATCAGGGAGTATTTTTAAGGAACTTTTGTTGACATCATTTCCTTAGTCTTAGGCTAAGATCAGTTTTAAATTAGGTGGGGCAGATTATCTGGTGAGCTGAATTTTCTGCGAAAGCAGAAAGAAGAGCTCCTGCAGGTGGCTCCTTGTAAAGTCATTCCAAATTCATCCTCTTAGTAGTCACCAAAAAGGTTTCTAAACTTTCTAAAAAGGGTTGTAAGAGATGGAAAGATTCACTAGGTACTTTGTTAAGTGTGTTTTGGCACCTGAGAAGTTGACAACACCCTCAAAAAAGCCAGTCTTTTCGACTGCTATCTAGTGGTAGGGGTTAGTAAAGTAAATATTGGTGATGATTGCTGTTTATGAGGCTGGTATTTGCTGAAGAGCTCTCCTCCATGTGTGTAGGTGTCAGTGCAAACGCCAGGCATAGTGTTAGCACAGCTGTGCCATTACTGCTGGGTTTTCGCATAGGTCCTCTCTTGGACGGTGACTGTGGCTGTTTTCTGTCTTGCTATCTTTGCTGAGAATGTGAATGTGCTCCATTTCTGAAATTCTTCATTGCTTCCTGCTCTGCCAGATCTTTTTCAGGTTCTGACTCCCTTGTTCTTCTGGTTCCCTTCTTTCCTGCACCTCCCCCGCATTTTGTCATAATTTTTGTGTATAGTCAATGCAGCAGGCATGGGGTTGAAAAAAGAAGGGAAATCCCATTTGTGAGACAGTTGCTACTTTGCTGGCATGCCACTGCCTTGCAGCTGAGGCAGCAACCCATTAACCCCCACAGGGTTCATTATTGGTGACTTGCTGTGAATCAGTGAAGCCTAACAGGAGAAGTAGAAAATCCAAGCAAGCTTTCCTGGACACCAGCATGGTGATCTGGGATTCCCAGTGTAGCACAGAGACAGTGCCTCAGTGCTGCAGTGTCCCTCCTGTACCTTCCCAATGCTCTCCAGATGGGGCAGGTGCTATTTTGCATTGGCAGGAAATTTTCAGACTATTGTGAACAATGATTTCATTGAGCTGGGTTTTGGAAGTGCCTCTTTTGAACAATCTCTGCTTTGATAAAGAATTCCTTAGTGTCCCTAAATCCCACAAAACAGACATGAAGTGGAAAAGGTTTCAAATGGAGCACCTCTCCTATGAGGAAAGGCTGAGAGAGATGGAATTGTTCAGTCTGGAGCAGAGGAGGCTTAGGAGTGACCTAACTTTGAACTTCTGGTAGCTGAAGGGAGCTGACAAGAACAACGGAGAGGGACTTTTTATAAGGGCATGTAGTGACAGGACAAAG